GTCGACCCCCGCGCCTCTCCCGCAGATGGTACCTCCCGCGTGTGGGCTCCCTCAGAAATAAAACCTAAATAAAGCGGAATTAGGAGATTTGGCGTTATTAACTAATAAAAGTTGATTTCCGGGCCGTGATCTGAAAGTTTTAACAAGATTTCCCCCTTTCGTGGGCATTTCTGCTCGTCTAATTAGCGGACAGGGGTAGCAGGTAGTGTGAAGTGGAGGTGGTAGATATTTGCGGTATTAATACACATTAACATATTATTAATATAACAACATACAGTATAAATAAATACCGTATATTTCTACATATAATAATATGCAATGTATAGTATATTATAATATCTATGATAATGGCTAATATGTAATAACAATGTGTCATGCATAATAACATGCAATGCACGCTTAATGTTAATATTAATATAATACATATTGTATATTGATAGTAACATATTGATGTAATTACATGTCAGCATACCACTATTATAATATTGATCTATTATAATATATATAGTGGTATCTGATTATAACCAAAAGGCATTATATCAATAGATAGATATAAAACACAATGTATATAAAAAACATAATAAACAGGCACAGATTTGACATGTCCTTCAAAACACAATTTGATTGCTCACAGATTATATCTCTAAGTCATCAGAACATTTTGGCACCTGTTATAAAATAAACTTCGTGCCTCAGCAAGGATGTTATTTCCAATATTTGCTTTGCCTACTCCAAGAAGCTTGAAACAATTGCTTTAAAAATTAATTTAATTACATTTGTTCAGTTCTTGAATGCGTATCGCTCATCAATTCAAGACTGGTTTGGAAAACTCCACAGTTTATTTTCTTCAAATAAATGAAAAATTTTTGGTTTCATGGGTTGTTCTTCGTTATATATTAATTAAATGTTGTATTTCCCTGCAGTCCCACAGCTCACTTTTGGGGAGGTTTTTGAGGAACCCCCTGCTGCAGTGACTCTGAGGGGGATTGCAGCAGCTCCCCCCCTTCCTGGGATATGAATAATCACCATAAATTACACCCTAAGAGCAGAACAGGTTCTCTCGAAGCCTTTTAGGGATGAATCAGACGGCGCCAAGCACCACCTAATTAAAACGACATTCCCAGGAAAGGCCTGGACGCCCCGCGACAGCTCCGAGGCGCGTCGCGCCACACGCACGCACGTTTTAGGGACAAAACACCGCAATTCCCGCTCCATCCCTGACGTGCTCTTGCCAGATGGCTCCGGCAGCTTCACGGGAGGGGATTTGCTCAGGAAACGGGCTCCGAGGGCTGGGATTTGCAGCAGAGCATCTGCCTTTTGTCGCTTTCCAAGGGGCTCTGCACAGGGCTCCCCTGTGCTGCCGGTGTTCGCTCACATCTCCACAATTTTCCAACGGTAAAAGGTTTGGGGTGACTCTTTGGAGTAAACATGCCTAAGGCGGGACATGGGAATGGCTTCCCTCTGCCGGGTGGGATGCTGGGGAGGAATTCCTGCTTTGAGGGTGGGCAGGCCCTGGCACAGGTGCCCAGAGAAGCCGCGGCTGCCCCTGGATCCCAGGAATGTCCGAGGCCAGGCTGGAGCAGCCTGGGACAGTCAAGGTGTCCCTGCCATGGCAGGGATAGAACCAGACAGTCTATAAGGTCCCTTCCAACCCAAACCATTCCATTCTCTGATGAAAACAGCCTGGAAGTGTTTAATGCACAGAGGGAGATCGATCACCACGTGAACACAATCAGCAGAGCGGTGCATTCCGTGCAGCAGGAAGCAGGAATTGCAGCCTGCAGGAAGCTCCAGCTCCGCTCTGGAGTGTCACACGCCGCGCTTGCACGCTGCTGTTTGCATTAAAACGGCCCCACAATCAGCCTCATGGGTCAAAAGTCCAAAAGACAACGTTTTCCACGAGTATAATTCACAGTTTACAGGCAGTTCCGGCCTCAAGAAAGCATTACCATTCCTAACATTAAAAAAGGGTGTTTAAACTATTTAAACTGAAAGGTATCCTTTACACCAAGGGCAGATCCTAGTGCTGCACCCACCCAGGAATCATTGCTCATGTGAAGGACCGGGACAGGACAGAATTCACCCGTGTTTAGGCCTAATTTGAAAATCAACTCATTAATTGGCACATTGAAATTGACGAGTTTTCCCCAGCGGGCGGGCACAGCCTTGCAGGAACCCCATTCCACACTGGATCAGGACACAGATCCATGGCAGCCAGCAGCAGAGGGGAGCGTGGCGGGCAGGGTCTGCACTCAGACAGCCAGGGAGTGATTAAAAAACACCCAGAGATCCCCCAGGAGCTGCCACCAAAGGCTGGGCTGGCTTCCTCCCGCACGACAGACGCGTGGCTTCCCCTTTCCCACCGAGCCAACCGGCCTTCCCAGTGGCCAGAGGAGCAGATTCCCGGGGCTATTTCTGGCTGGGACACGCAGGGCCCATGGGTATCCCACCTAAGGAGCTGCTCCCGAGCTGCTGCCCAAAAGAGGCCCGGAGAGCCTTCGGACACGCCACGCTCCTCTGCTATTCCCAAGCCTTGCCAGCAGCTGTCAGCTGCCTGCTTAATAAGCAGGAATAGGAAATGCAGCGAGTTCACAGCAGGGGGAAAAGTGTTCAGCCGGGTCCTTGCTCCATTCCAAAGCCACGGTTTTCCTAATTTTGGACTTTATCAATCCGGTTTGTAGGGTTTTCTGTTATGTCGCTGTCAGCATAGGCTGACATAATAATTTATGGACAAGGGGGATGTTGCTTGGAGGTTTTTTTTTGGCAGGAATCTTCTCTTAGGTTGGACTCCATGGTCTTGGGTGTCTTTTCTGACTTTAATGGTTCCGTGATTCTAGGCCACAGGAAATACAGGGATTGCTTCCAAATAAAGTCAAGTATGGCCATGACTTGTGAGCATGAAAAAATTCACATACATCACAGAGAAATGTAGCGACTTCTCAGCTTGCATCCACACGGATCCCTTCCGAGAAGAGCTCCCAGAATTAACCAGCACTGCCCAGCTGGACAGCAGGAATGAGCAGGAGAAGGCAGAGCTCACGAGGAGATCCACGATCTGCAAGGCACATCTTTATCCTCCCACATATTCTGCTCATTTCAGCACATCACTGGTTCTTTTTTTTTTTTTTTTTAATATGGCAGCAGTTTCATTATGAGGAGGGCTGTAAACATGTGAATAACAGCAGAATTTCTGCCCTAAGTACGTGCAGTGAAAAACGCCCTCCCACAGCATTGCTCTGTGCTTTAAAATGTGCACAGACAAGCGAAGCAAATCATGCAGACACAGAACTTGGCTTGTAAATTAAGGCAGACTAATTGAGCTCTGCCTGAACTTTCTTCCCCTGAATCCTAAACAACCTGCCGAGCAAGTGCTCTTCCTTGGAGCAGTCAAGGTAAGAGGTATTTTTAGTTTGTACAGCGCTGGAGCCGTACAAAGCAGAAGGTCGGGTACACCAAACACTCCTTCTGTCACTGCTATTTCTGTGAGCTGGGCTGATTCCTCTCCAGCCACCCCTTCCCTGCCTCCCAAAGCTGTGGAATGGCGGTGCCAGGAGGGGCTGGGGGATGGAATCATGGAATCACAGGAAGGGCTGGGTTGGAAAGACCTAAAAGCTCATCCCATTCCACACCCTGCCGTGGGCAAGGGCACCTTCCAGGAGACCACAGTGCTCCAGCCTGGCCTTGGGTGCTTCCAGGGATGGGCACGGGGGAGCCTCCTTGGCTGCAGCGGTCCAACACCTCCTTTGGAAACTGCCCTGGAGGAGAGATGGAGAAGAGGAGAAAATTATGTTTCGCCTCCTAGGAAGCTCAGGAGAGCTCAGGCACGCGGGGATCACAGCGCTGTGGGATCGAGGGGAGCCCCCACATCCCAGCACCCATCCCTGCTGGGCTCAGCTCCTGCTGGGCACCAAACCCTCCTGCCCGAGCCCCTCTGGCTGCCACCCCCAGCAGCTCTTCCAGGGTCATTACTGGGGAAAACCAGGGGGGAAAAATTAAGAGGAGTCTCCATGAAACAGCCAAGGGCTGGGAGCAGCTGAGAGGACTGGGAGGTGCCCAGGTGGAACCTGCTGGGCAGGCTGGAAGCTGTCTGAGCAGAAACCTGCTCCTCCCTGCCAGCTCTGTGCCTGCTGCCACCTCCCACACCAGCACCGCCACACAGCCACGGGAATGGCTGCAGCAGGGCCCGCTCTGCCTGGAAAAAGCCAAGCTGAAGCATTTTTCCCCCTGTGCCACTTTTATTTCAGGCTGGCTGTGGTGGTGTCACAGGCCTGTGGGCGGTGGGAAGGGGAACACGTTAAACCACAGAGCGTGGGGCGGCCCGCGGCCAGTGTTCTGTGTGTGCTGGGAGCTGTGCTTGCCCTACTCCTGCCCACTGCCCACCCCAGCAGCTGAGAATTGTATTTTTGGGGTTCCCAGATGAGGGGAGAAATGATGAATCTGACTCCATGTTCTTAGAAGGTTAATTTATTATTTTATGGTCTATATTATTTTAAAGAACGCTATATAAGCTGTACTAAAGAATGCTGAAAGGATACAGACAGAAGGCTAAAAACATACTAAAGAAACTCACAACTCTTTCTAGAGTCCGATACAGCTTGGCTCCAGCTGGCCAATAATTCAAAACAACTCACATGGAACCAATGAAACAATCACCTGTTGGATAAACAATCTCCAAACCTCATTCCAAAGCAGCAAAACACAGGAGAAGCAAATGAGACAATATTGTTTTCCTTTTTCTCTGAGGCGTCTCAGCTTCCCAGGAGAAAAATCCTGGACAAAGAGGTTTTTCCAGAAAATATGACTGCTGCAGCTCAGCCTCCTGCTGTGGCCCCATCCCACAGGAAATTGGGGGAAATCGGGTCCCTGAGAGGGGTACAGGGTGCCAGTGGTGACAGGGACCCTCTGGCACACGGAATGTGCACGGGAGCTCCAGGACCTGCAACAT